GGGTCTCAGCCTCCATCAGTTTCTGGACAAACGTTTTTTACGCTCATTATTTGGACCGGACACAATCTAATTTGAAACTCTGCACTTTTCTTGTAGCAGCAGAGCTTCTTTTTGTTTCCTTTCTGACAATGACATTTCCTCTGGCTCTGCGATTTCGCTGTGAAAACCTAATGATCTAAAGTGGAGACAGTGGAAGAGAGATGGCAGCATACATTAGGTATGAAATAGAGTTGCACTGGACGCATTATTCTGTGGAGAGATCTTCATCATGTGATGTACTGTTTGTGCAATGTGATCAGCCTCTATTTTGTGACACAATTACACACGGTCGTAACTGCAGAGCCAAATGGGCACAGGAGGAAGGAGATTGATGGCCAATAGGAAACAGTCACTAATGTGAGGGACAGTCTCAACTAAACAGAAGGCTGAAGCGAGTCTGAAACGTCGTGGTGCACTAATGAGTCCTGCCTTTCAGATTGAATTCCCACCCACCTACAGAAAACACATCCACCAACAACGACAACACAGATGGTTCTGTCCCAGTGCTGCAGCAACTGCATACGGTGGTTAATCTGAACGACAGCACACACTCATACCAGGAAACCCCTCCCACTCGGTCATGTGACTCTTCACACTGCTTGTATGTCAAATGGACACTTTGTTGACATTGATGTGTAACCACAGCGACATGTGAATAACAAGATGCAGTGGTGCACACAGCAGGAGACCAGTGTGGCTCTCCCCCAGGCACGATGGCCGTGGTCAAACAAGGTGTAATAGTCACTCAGGTCAGCATTTTTTTTTAAATTGGTACATGAAAAAAAAAGGAATGTAGACACTACTCAGCAGTTCAGGTGAGATTTGTTTCGCTCACACTACAGAATGTGAAAGGTTTTGGAGGAGCCAGGATTAGAATCAAACTATTACTGTTGCTGCATTTTGTTAAAAAGTAGCCTTTCTTGTCATATAATGATCAATTCTAAAACATAAAATCAATATTACATCAATTTATTTCTGCTCCACCAGAATCTGCAAGTGGATTTTCTTGCTTTCGGAACTTGGAGGGAAAGTGGTTTCACTTGTATTAAGACAGTAAAACTCACAGACGACGAAAATGAGCTCCAAGCCAAAGGTCTTAGGTATGCTATGAGCTCTGAATGGTTTCCTGATATTTGGTTTGTGAAAGTTTGTGTTTACAAAGACAAACCTATCATTCTTGTGCATTGCCTTTAAGGACCAATCATTGTGAAAAGCTTTTTCCAGCTTTCAAAACTGTCCTGTTTGCCCCCTCTTCTTTTTTTGACTGGTCTGAGTGGGTGGGTGTAAGTGTGACAGGGCAAGAAGCTGCTGCTGCTGTGTCTGCTGCAGGACAAGGCAGAACGGAGCTGGTATTATCACTAAAAATAAATCAGCCTGAACAGGAAGTGAGCCTGTGGTGAATTATTATGTGAAGAATGCCAAACAATTAACTGCCTCCTGATTGAAATGCATTACTAAATTGACTTGCTTCATCCAGATAGTACTGTGAAAAAGTAGAAACAGTGTTGAAGTGAGTCAGTACTGCTGCTCTGAAATGTCATTGCAGCAGCTCACAGCAGACAGATATCCAGGCCCGGAAACAACTCCAGGGACCTGTCCTAATTGGCAGTCATCAGCTATCAAGCTGCATTGAAGTTTTATAAATAACCTCTTTATTTATAGACATTTTTATTATTTTTAAAACTGGCTATTAGTCTATTAGTTCACCGTACTGATACCAGTATCTCTGAAAGGGTGTACCTCAGTGATTTTTCAATTACACGAAAAGGTCAACCTTTTATGAAGATACGGAAGTTTGACCGGGACTCTATTATAGAGACTAGGTAATAGACCTGGAGATGGAGCCCATTCATCTAAATAGAAACTATTCACTCAGCAAAAAATGGAATAATTACAGGTTTTTTTTACTTTAGTGACTTTTACTCACCACACACCTGTGCCCTACTGTGTTTCCAAATACACACCTAGTTTACACAAGGGAAATGTAGAGTAAAAGTTGTTTTCTGGTGTCAAGGTCTGTTCCATTTGGACACTTATGTTAATTGTGTTTCTAAGTCACTTCCCAGAATAGGAAGTAGGACAACAGGAACGCCCCCTCAGGTCATAATCACTTTGTAAGAACTCAGGGGATCCATAGTTTCCAGACAAGGATCCCTGTTGGACCAGCTGTAAAGTTGTAATTTTCAATTTTCATCTTTCTCATCTTCCAGCAAACTTATAGAGAAAAAAAAAATCCTGCAAATGTATGGTTTAGCTGAAGGATTTTGTAAAGTCTGCTCTATAGATGGAGGCATCTTGTGTTGCCATGTTGCTGCAGCTGCCTGTGAGACAGGGAAGTAGACAAAAGGAGAAATAATAATAATAAAAACAATCCCTGTCATAAAATGTTTCCAGATGCATTTGGACATTTTAGAGAAAAAAAAGAAGCTAAAATCTATCTGGTATGAACAGTGGGATTCTTAAGCCAATGAAAGTTTTAAAACCTTTTTTTTTTTTTAATCACTGAGAATATCAAAACAAGGACTGTACAATTCACTGACAGATCTATCATCACTTTATGGCTTAATACAAGCACCAACCAGGCCCAGCTGAGTATCCTATGGCTGGGCACTTTGAAAGTTACTGAATTCAGAAAACAGAGAGCTGTGAATTACAAGATGTAACCTTTGCATATTTGCACTACTCTAACCATAATGTGGCGCTGTGGCAGCAAAAATACTTGGCTCTCCTTTAATGTGTTTATGTCTGGGATAAGACATGATAGCTAATATTAATCTGATAATCTGGTGCAGCTGTTACAAAAATGATCAGGGGCTGACTTTTAAAACATTTGCTTTAAGCATATGAAGACTGAATGAATATTTATCACTTTCCAACTACAAAATAGCATGAATCTTTAATATGTTCAGGTCCCTTGGTGATTGGTTAGGAGGAAGCCAAAAAAAGAAACAGTATTTTTTTCGTGGCCTCACAATGACACCTTTTCTGAAACACTGTGGGTTGTGCCATCGTCAGTCAGTTTTATTTGCTGTCTGATATCAGCGCCCAGGCTCTAAAAATATGAATAAACAGGAAAGATTCCCCATCATAAAAATACTGTTTATTTTGTCCTGCAGTATAAAAAACAAAAAAAAGATAAATCTGAAAGATGCGCTGGGCAAAACAAGTGCCTCGAGTGGCCGCAGCTTCACTTTCATTTTTCAAAGTTACAGTCACCACATGTCAGGTGGAGCAAAGTGTCACAGCTGAATTGAAGCCTTTGCCATGGCAGGGAGTCAGAGGCGGGAAGTGTGTTGGAGGAGTGTGGTGCACAGAGGGATGCCACTCTGTTAAAAGGTTGTGTGGGGAGGCCCTGTTTTATCACCCACACTGAAGAATGCAGCACAGTAACGGGGGGGGGGGGGGGGGGGGGAGGAAGGAAGATGGAAATCCAGATAGAATTACCATACAGTGTGCAAAGAAAGGAAGGCATCTGTCCCACTCAGTTCAAACCATCAGATCTGTTTTTCAATGGAAAACTGCACTGCTTCATGACAAGCGATTGCTTCATAGCAAGGATTCCGACCTGCTGAATACACAAACACAGTCGTCGTGGTTCCTGCCTGTGACCGGGAAAGCTGATTGTATATTGACTCACTGAGAGCTCTACGTTTCTGCCTCAATAAAAAAGAATGGTCTGTGAAGAAATATAATTGAAGCTCTCCTGAGGAGAAACTGAACTTCTACAATGTTCTCTGCTCATGTTCATCCTATTCTGGCTGAGCAACATCAGTGAGTCCCTCTTATTGCTCCCATAGACAGTTTGGGGCGGTCTGGGTGTTCAGGAGCTGCTGATTATAATCACAGGGTGGGCTGAGTTCAACAGGCCACCATCAGGCATGCAGTCCACCACATCAAGCGTCCTGCGAGGGACACTTGCTCTTTACTGACCTATTGCACAGTAAATGTTAGATGAGGGGGCAGCAGACGGGGGCTTCTCATTGACATTCCCATTGGTTTGAACGGGATCGTGCTGTAGGACAGCACCCCTGGGTGCTGTCCTATAGCCAGGGATGGGTGTGTGCACCACTTCAAATGGCAGGCAAGTCAGATGTCATTCACTGAGCCAAAGCCCCTGACAGCCAAAGTCTAACACTGACTGTTGGAGAAATGGTAATCTGTTACTCTGTATGTGAGCCAGGGGGAGAGAGCAGCCTGAGGGGTTGGAATATTTCTCAGACCAGGCTTACAGTAATGAAAAAGTATTCTGAAGTGGAGTTTCTACAGCACTTTCCCCCCCAGTTTTCCTCTTCTCACCTCTGTAGAAGTTTTACTTAACGCAGTTTTTTTGCTTTGATCACTGAGTGAGATGGTATATTTAACTATCTAAAAACCTTTTCTCAACATCACGTTTATCAGAACGGAAGTAGCTAAAGCGCCCAATCTTCCTTGTTTGTACCAGGCCTTGATCAGGGCGCTGACACCCCACCAAGCAAAAAAGATTTTAAGAGAGTTTTCGTGGCCAGCCCCTGCTGTGCAAAATCAACACTTCTGTCTTGCAATATCCTATATAGTACAATCTATAACCCCTCACCGCTTCATTCCCACCTATTTGATGTTTTTTTTAAAAATAATAAACATATCCACCTTGATTCTAAAGAAATGGAAAGAACTACGAAAACAGGCCGGGGGCTGCAAAGCGGCTAATAAACACATCAGCATGTATTTTTTGACTTATCAGGCAAGCCTTTACTATTTTGTCTGTACTATTTGTCTTCATCTTTTAGAAACTGTGACCACAGTTGTTATACTTTTATCCATCAGGTTATTACACGAAACCATTTTAGGTGGTTTAGGTTAGAAAATGTTTTAGGTTTAATTAAATAATTGTAATGGCATCGGGTCACAAAATTGCTGACAATATTTTAACCGCACGGACTCATGGAGCAGCTGAATCAGTGTATGGTGCAAAGATCACCCACCTATAGTCGACACCACAGTTCCAACAAAATAAAAAGCCCCTGTAAAATCCCATCGTGGCCTCAGGGCATCAGCCCGGATCCCGGCGGCGATGGCAGCCTCGTACTCCCGCAGGAAGGAGTTGAGCTCCTGCAGGCTGATGTTGAAGGTCTCACTAAAGTTGAGGAGCGTCCCGTTCCAGCGGCCGTGAGCCCGCAGCTCCGAGGGCCTCTCTATGGCCGAGAAGACCGCAGCGCCGCACAGCAGGTAGAGGATGATGAGGAGGGCGAGCAGCACGAAGCGGCCGTTGTCCTCGTTGAGGTGCAGGGAGCGGCAGCCTTGCAGTCGCAGGCCAGGCATCATCCAAATTTCAGCACCACTCGCGCGTCGGACAGCGACGAGCTGCACATCAGAGGCGGCATTCAAAAGTCCCCGTCCGACACTCACTCACCGCACTTTAACGCGCAGGCAGCAGCATCTCCGGCACTCCGCACAACACGTGGTCTCATCTTAGTTAGTAAAGTGGAATGAATCGCATCTGAAGATGCAAAAGTCCGTGGAAAGAGTTGTGGAGAAAAGCTCCTCGCCGTCCTCTCTGCCTCCGTGTATTTCAGATGTGCCAATGCAGATGGTGAGGAGGAGTGGACTGCAGCTTGAATCCAGCCTTGCGCGCTCCTTTGTGAAAATGCAGGAGGTAGTTGGAGGATTCTCCGGCTTCCCTGCACCAAAATGATCCCACGAAAACACGCACACGCGCACACACAGGATCGACACTCAAGATATTATCTATGCCTCAGGTAAAAGCCCATTAAAGTCAATTAGTCTGTTGTTTTTGTTCTTCAAAGGTTTCGAGAGCTTGTTCTCTGTGCATCCAGTTGGTTCTTGACAGAAATCAG